AGAATTGAAACCCTGAAGTTAGGTTGTCAAGCAGACATCATACCAACTGTTCCACTGGGCCTCGGTGACGAAGAGATTGCAAATCAGACTCAACATAGCGCCGCTCACTCACATATTCCGTGGTGGAGCTCTACTGAGTTCTCTCTAACCATAGGACTCTGTGCCCCCTGGAGCCACGACTACTCTCACCGGAATATGTGAGTTTTTGGTTTTGGGCCAAATCTAAGCTAAGCTTCGAAACTCAAAAGGGACCTCGACGTTGTGTAATGGTTAGTAAGCCTGTCTTGCTAGATCAGTTACGACTGAAATGTGAGTTTGATCGTCACTGGGCTCTTCATACCTTTGGCCTTGCGCCACATCTAAGCTAATCTTAGAAACTCAAAGGGACCTCGACCTTGTGTAATCGTTAGCAAGCCTGTCTCGCTAGATCAGTTGCGACTGAAGAGTCTTTTCGATTTTCATTTGGCTCTTCATACCATCGACCTTGCGCCACATCAATACTACGCTTAGACAATCACCATAGATGATCGCGTAAATAATTCTTTTTATTTTCTGTATTATTGTTTATAATCTAACATCACAATTGGTGTATTTTTCGCATTTGCAAATGTTATTTTAATACTCCAAAGATTAAAATAATATAAAGATATCTTTAAAAAATTCTTCTTGTTTGAAATTTCAGAAATAAACCCCAGATGCATGGGTCGGGTTTTTTTTATGTATTCATAAGGAATATAAATATTTTTCTTTTCTGTGATTAAAAAGTTGACATTAAAAAAAAAATTGCCGTATGTTTACAAACGTTGTAAATATTGTTGTTGATGCTGACTTTTGATTTTAAAGCGCTGTCGTCTCATTCATGAGAAACTAATATTATTTTGTACACAGATTGCAGACATTCTTCGGTATCCGTTAAAGACTGTCATGTTTATTAAGCAAATCACGATGTTTCTATTCTTTTCTGTTATGCCCTTGATGCATCTTTGTACGCCGAGAAACACCAATTTCTTTGCTTCCGTTTTGAGCGAATCCGATAATCATCTCTGAACCAAAGCGAGACGTGAATAAATTTCAGTGTGTCTTGATTGCAATGTATATATCAGTTAAAATATTTGCTAACGTTAAGACTCATTCTTCAATCCATCCATTCCTGCGTACGCACATTAAGCTTTGATTCAATGGCTGACTTACATAGTGGTAATATACGTAATCATATATAATAATATTTAGTGCTAGTGAGTGTATAAAATAATACGCAGTGGCACTAATATAGTTAGTGTTAAGTATTAATCTATAATACTTACAGCATAGAATTTGAGAATCAGGCACGTTTCAATACGACCTCCCCAAAAACTCCTTATATCTCAGAAATACCGAAAATGTCTTCTGCATTTACTCTCAATTCACTGATATCAAAAATATTCTGAACAGGTTTCACCAGGTTCAAACAAGTATTGGATTTACCATTGAAACGTTAAAATATAAATTGAATACTTTTTGTGACGTCAACAAACACTCGTTGCCACTTTTGTAATGTCAACGAACACTCGTTGTCACTTTCGTAATGCTCGTTGTAGTAGAGACTTTGTAATCGCAGATACAACTATAGTAACGCCGTTGAACAATACTGGCGTCAGACGCCTTCGAATAGCAGACGGACTAGTGCTTGCTAGATAATACTCGCTCGAATAGTAACCCTCGAATTGTAATCCCAATTGTGATCAGTATAGATAAATTGTGTAGAAATAGTGAATAGTATAGAGAATAGCGAACCGTATATTAATAGAGGATAGAATAAAAATAATGATCCGAATAGTAATAGAGGATAGACTAGAAATGATGATCAAATAGACGTCACGCTAATTTATATATATATATATATATATATATATATATATATATATATATATATATATATTTACCTTACTATCACGTGATCTACTTATTGAAAATGGATCGCCTGTGTTTACTCTCTGGCGATCTATGTCCGAACTGCAGTTTAAATTTTTGAAGATTAAAGTTGACTGGAAAGTATAGAGCGAAAAGAAAGTTCCACGTGCACGAAAAGAAGCGGAAGGAAAGTTTATTAAAATTAATCAACAAAGCATTATTAAAATTAATTTTCTTGCAAGAGACTTTGTAACATTTTCAATAAAAAAAATAGAGAGAAAATCGTATTAATAAATTATTTCTTTAACTCAAGCAAAATTAAAATTTCGATATCAGTTGGCGGGAAAGCATGGAACCGGAAGAAAATTCCGCAAGCGAAAAGTGCTACTAAAGAAACTTTTACGGTTACATCTTGCCAACTCAATTGTAAATTGGTGAGACCTCGTCGACTTGTTTATTACTGCACTTAAATTCATAAACTCTAGGAACAGTTACCATCATAGTATTTATGGAAAAGACACAAGAATGCCACTTTATGGCGGTGGGAAAGTGACGAAGACGCCAGAAAAAGACCAATAATTTTATAATTATAATTTTATAAGTGCTTAATTTCAGGATTGTGATTAACCGTGTAAACGGCGAAAGGCTTAGAAGTACCACATGTTTTGGAGTGACTCGCGTGGGATCCAGCATTCTTTCTATTAGTCAGTTACGTGCCATGCGTGATACACGCTTAGGCGATCATATGATTATAGGTTGCCATTTCTTTCTGCGTTAGACCGGTTGCCATCCAAGGCTATAGAACCCGGTCTGTCCTACTATTTACACATAGCTAGGGGAGAAGAGGAGGATTCATACCTTTCCCAAGGGTATTAGCACGTAATGAATGTAATGGATTCGACTAGGATTCGAACTCGGCTCTCCGATTCCTCAATCCAAGCCGTTATCCGTAACTTCACGGTGCCTCCACAAAGTCAGTTATGTGCCATACGTAATACACGCTTAGACAATCATGTATCTTTCGATACATAACTGACGATGGAGATTTTTTCCCGCAGTAGGTTGCCATTTCTTTCTGCGGTATACCAGTTGCCATCCAAGGGTATAGAACGCGGTCTGTCCTGCTATTTACCCAGAGCTGGGGTGGAGAAGAAGATTCGTACCTTTCCCAAGGGTATTAGCATGTAAGTGAATGTAATGGATTCGACTGGAATTCGAACTCGGGTCTCTGATTCCTCAATCCGCTATCCATTACTCCACCGTACCCCCTCAGTCACCATTTATTAATTCCTTAAAAAATAATACCCTTGTCTACTGCGGTGATTTCAAATCTTACTGTCAGATTAAATTGTATTAGATTAAATCAGTCAGTTATATGCCATGCGTGATATACGCTTAGGCGATCATGTATCTTTCGATACATGACTGACGAGGCAGGTTTTCCCGCAGTAGGTTTGCCATTTCTTTCTGCGGTAGACCAGTTGTCATCCAAGGCTATAAAACCCGGTCTATTTCCCCTTAGCTTTAAGAAGAGGATTCATACCTTTCTCAAAGGTATTAGCATGTAAGTGAATGTGATGGATTCGACTGGAATTCGAATTCGGCTCTCCGATTCCTCAGTCCGAGTCGTTATCCATTATTCCTCTTAGACACCCCAAATCAACACAACTTATTCTGATCTGCCTTTTAAATGAGCAACCTTTGATTACCCCAAAAGCCTATATGCGTGTTTCTGCGTATCTAGTGGGATTGGAAGTCATGTGTTTATCCCAGAGTCCTTCCGCAAAACCAGACGTTGAATTCAGACAAGTACTGTTCGCATTTGAACCGGTTAAAAACAGCAAAGTATTTAGAAAAGTTTTCTGGACTGGTCTATCGGAAAGGTGTCGTCTTCCATCAGCACAATGGCCCTTTGCAGACCCGGCAAAAATTGGTACAGTTTGACTGGGCTGTCTTTCTACACACAATATGCTTGCTTCACCTTCTTCCTTCGTAATACTACTTATTTCGATTCCTTACAAAAAAAATCTAAAGAGGTAAAACTTTCATTATTTGGAAGTCTGTACAACGACTTATATCAGTTCATCACCTAGGGAGATGTCAAGTTCTGAGAGGACTGAATCATGAAGCTGTCACGAAGCTGAAGAAAGTTAAAGGAAACATATATGATTAAATAAATCATTCCACAACTATCAAAATATCGCCTTTGAAGTTCACATAAAAAGCTAGGAACTTATATATAGCTCTGTTCACATCTATATATATATATATATATATGTTATCTATCTATCTATCTATCTATCTATCTATCTATCTATCTAAGTCTGTTAATATCTCTGTTCAAATCTATCTATCTATCTATCTATCTATCTATCTATCTATCTATCTAAGTCTGTTAATATCTCTGTTCAAATCTATCTATCTATCTCTCTATCTATCTATCTATCTATCTATCTATCTATCTATCTATCTATCTAAGTCTGTTAATATCTATCTCTGTTCAAATCTATCTATCTATCTATCTTTGAATGTTAGCGAAAATAACCGTTACTTTCTTACTACGGGTAGTGAATACAGATATCATCTTTATTTTGAGATCGAAAACATTTTCACGATCAGAAGTTTATAGTTTTGTATGGCTAATGAAATTAAATACGTATACGTATGTGTGTGTTTATACGTACTCACATTTAACAAGGCACTTCACAGATAAGAATGATTGAACATTAAACAGTAACATTTTAAATAATAAAAAAAAATTCAGCCAATAATAATTCAACTTAGTATATATCTTCAGTTCTCATGTATATTATCTATTATGTATTAAACATTAAGTTAATGCCAAAACGTCCTAGTCCAGGGTTAATTAGTAATTCTTGTTCAATTATCCCTACAGTTTCCTATTTGTCTCTTGTGACGCAGAGTTCAGCTCTCTTTGTAGAATAACTAGAAGCTTGCAATTTGCCGCAGATAAAACCCCGAGCGATAAGCAGGAATATGGAAAGTCGTTCTCGGTCCAAAGAAAATATTCGCCTAAAAGATTAGCAGTTAAAAGTGAAGCGTTAAAAATACAATGAGAGTGATTTTAATTCTTCATTTAGATCAGTTTACTGTCATATCACGTTGAAACATCAATTCGCGTACGATCACCAAAGTTAAGCAACGTGAAGCCGGATCAGTACTTACATGGGTGACCGCTTGGGAATACCAGGTGCAGGTAGGCTTAGATGTGCGGGTGGTGTAATGGATAATTACTCGGAACTGTTAATCAGAGAGCCGAGTTCCAATTCCCGTTAGACTCGCTATATTCACTTAAGGGCAAAAACTCTTGGGAAAGAAATGAATCTATTATTCCCCAACCGCCAGCTAAGATTTATATCACTGAATAATTATTATCTCCCCCCACCCCACCTCGAAAAATTCTTATACTCTGAAAATATATTCTGGCTTAAAATAACCTGGAAAGGGTTGATAAGCCGTAGAAAACGAATCAATCAGTCAATGCCATCTTTATCCTAGAGACGAAAGGTTTTTTTGTACCTCGCTACTCTATCGCCATTGCTATGGCAGCTGTTTGGACGAGTTACATTTCTTAGTTCCATCAGCTCAGACATTCACATTTTGAACCCGCCATGCCACGTTTACAGCGACAAACCATCCCCATTCTGTTCCGGTTCCTTTGATTCGAAGAGCTTCCTCCCCAGAACTGTTACTTTGTGGAACAAACTCACGAAAGGTTGCTTCCCTGACAAGTACAAACTTCTAGGATTAACCGATATCTCTCATACGCGTTCCGATAATGTACACTTTTTACCCCCTTTCGCCACTCTCTTGCTATAATTTCGCTTAATAACACTCTAACATGAATGACCCTTGGGTTTTGTATTGGGGGAAGTAACAGTAATAACAAAAAAAAAAAAAAAAAAAAAAAAAGACAAAATAATAACAGCGTTTAATCCGAAGCAGGTATTTACAATATAAACTGGAAAAATGATCCAATAAATATCTCGATGACAGAATTAGCAATTTAAATATATGAAATATATGAAAACAAAAGAGTGCAATAATTTTAGCCATTATCAAGAATGAATTTTATTTAGATTTTAACTAAATATATGCAGTGTTTTATGTATTTATCTAGAGTTACAGTAATGTTTTATTTTCTAAACACAGTCAGCACATTGTGACTGTGTTTATAGTTGATGTTATTGAGTGTTGGCCTTTTCTTTTTTTTATTAATAACGCTTCCATTATTTTTAGATGCATAAAACAACGCATATATGCAGTTAAAAGTAAAATAAAATTCTTCCTTGATAATGGCTAAAAGTATAGTCGAAAGCGCATGCATGGAAAATATTCCGAGAAATTTTATATTATTTTTGCTTTGAAAAGAAAAAAATATACGAACACATGAGAAATTATATAAAAACTCAACCACCTTGTCACTCATTTTCAACGAAACTAGCATAAAAGATGGATTGTTGCCCAAACACACACAAGACTCTCTCTCTCTCTCTCTCTCTCTCTATATATATATATATATATATATATATATATATATATATATATATGACCTTAGTGTCCATTTTTATATTTCCATATTGAAGACTATCACCCATGAATATAGCATACCTTAATATTATTTTTTTTATCTTGTATATATACTCAGACCGTGGTCTTTGAAGAACTTGATAAGGATTTTTCTTAGACGGTCAGCATTTTGCGCGCTTGATTTGCATAGGAGTATAATCCCGTCGTCGCTATAGAGGCCGGTATTCTTAATATCATAGATAAATCTAAGAAACCAAAGTAATAATATGTCGACAATCTCGCAAGTTTCCGCTGAATCAAACGCGCCCATGGCAATATTGAAGTCAGGATTGCTACGGTTGGTCCACAAGTAACGCTCATGGTACAGAATGGGTTTCTGGGCCCGTTTAATGATGTTAATGTCCTGTTTACTTATGGGGGAGTAAATATTGGCCAAGTTTATCGCATCCATTAGTCTCTTCCCGATGGTGGATGGGTAGAAATTACAAATATCGAATTGGAAGAAAGAGCATTCACTTTTCGTATTAATTTTATTGAACCAATCAATGGCGTCAGTGGTATTATGTCACTGGTGGACTCCTAAGGAATTTCTTGAGCATATTTATTTGAACTTTTTATTTGCATATTTATATGTTTATATTTTATTTTATATTATTTTATATAGTTTTATTTTCATTGGCATGTATTATTTTTATTAGTACTTAAATTTTAATTTTATTTTATCACGGCATATTTTATTATTATTGATATCATTACTCTTATTTAGTTTATTAATATTATTAATACTATTAATTACTTTATTGATTTTCATGAAAAAACAGAGTTGCCCAACCCCGCACTTGATTTCATACCTTTTGATAACAACGGCGTCTCTTCAAATTAGAATTGATGATTCTTATTTCCAATCTTAAATGCTAATCTGGGACTAAATTCAAATCCAAAATTATCTAAAATTCATTAAAGTTTTTAACAACAATAATAATCAACCCATACAATAAAATATCTAGCGATAAACAGAAATCTCGAAGAAGCGGTGTTAACTCAAAAAGTTGTACCTGACGAATGCAGAATGTATAAAACTCCGAATTGTGCAATCATTGTAAGATATTAAGTATATTTCTTAATATATTAAATAGCTCTGTTATTTAACATTGAACACTGATGTTTTACACTATATATATATATATGTGTGTGAATTTGTACGGAAGTGTGACTGGCCGCTCATATCCGTTTGTGCTTGTCAGTAGGGTGGCTATTTAATCTCTGTTGCTGGCATCTCCTTAGACACACTGCTTTTTCTTCAACACCCACAGAGACAACATTTGATTTATAATAAAACTATGATTACCAGGCTTTAGTTAACATTTAGTTTCCCACAGAGGAAATCTTTGAATTCAAAGTTGTTCTCTTAATCTGGTTGCTAACCACAGATATAGAGTTCAGTCTGCTTTGCTATTGAAGTTTCCGATAAAAAACAAACAAACACATAATCTAGCGTGATCAGAAGTCTAAACAAGGCTAACATACTCGGTCACGAGGACTTGTAACTTTGTGCTAGCAAAACCATCAAAGAATTTCGAACTGTTTTGCTTACACGATTTCACTTACTTTCGGTTATTGACTTCTCCAACCGATATTACCAAGCAGTCACAATTCCTTAAAAATTGACCACGGTGAGATTCGGACCTGGTTCTCATGGTTGGAACGCTAATGTTGCAATCACTCCCGCACGCGCCCACTTTTAAGCGTGCCTAATCTTTTATTTTGTAATTTTTGATACTATTTTAAGTTAATATTCATTTTCTGCTCATTTAATTTCATCTTGATGTTTGTTTTTAAGAAGTCACGCATTTTCGTATGAAATTTAGCGTACATCGCAGTTGTCTTCTTTTCCTTCTTCTGCTAACCGAATGTCTTCGTGTCCGTATGTCATCGACTTCCGGCAGATACATAATTTCCGGTTTCGATTCAACTCATCTTGGAAGTGAACGTCCATTTTGAAATTTGCTGCTGCCTGTAAATGTCACACAGCTGAACAATCCCTAAATCAGAGCTAAGAAGACGCGTCGGCATGGAGTTGAAATCGTAGGTTTACGAGTTCGTGAGAATATCAAATCAAGCGGTTCTCTTAGAGATAGGCAATTTTCTTGGAATGGCAAAACCATCGGTAATTTGATTCCACAACGATTGTTACCTCACACATCAAGCAAATTTATTTGAAACATTGAGGATTGGATTGTTTGAAGTCGTAATGGATGAATATAATTCAGAAGGATATCTGTAAAGGTGGTTAATAATTAACAAACAAGTTAGCAATGCTGACCTCCAGGGATGTAACTCATTGCTCATTTTAGTTCTAAGGTTTTTCATTGACATTATGATTATGATTATATTGAATCAATTGCTAGATCTGCTGCTAGGTAAGTTGGTTCTCTGCGTTCTGGTAGATATTTTTTCTCAACATAATCTATTTTTCACCTTTATTAGTGTACCATACGTCCGTTTGCTGCAACATGTGGTCTGATACTTATTCTGTGTATAGACAGATTCTTGACAGAATCCAAAGAAGAGTCTGCAATGTTATCGGTCCTGTCCTGGCGTCTCGGCTTCAATTACTGACCCACCGAAATAGTTTCCCTGTGGCTTTTCTATAAGTATTTTTATGGCAATTTTTTCCGATAAGCTTTCCTCGTTGTTATTTTATTCTCCTATTATCTTGCTCATGGCGTATCAAATGTAAACAAATGACGTCACACATTATGAAATGGACGCCATGAGCGGATATGAATGTACCTGAGAGATTCATAGAGGATTGAAGTTTAAATACAGTAAATTCGACCTTGCTAACCGAACGCGCCTCTGTGGCCAAATCGGTAAAGTCACGTCAAGCTAAATGACGGTTCCGTATAGGATGCAGGTTCGAATCCTGTGGGAGGACGAATATTTTCTGTGAAAATTTCTCGGACATTCAGGCCGGTAAATGTTGTTTAATACTGTTTATTATAAACAGAGCATTTACTTAAATATTTGTATCTATAAAAAGAATGTATAAACATAAAAATGTCTTAAAATAATTGTCGGACTTTGTCCATTTCATAATATATATATATATATATATATATATATAAATTATAATATATATGTAATAATATATGTATATATATAATATATAATAAACATAATAAATGTATAAATATATATATAATATATAAATATTAATAACAAAATCATTATTTAGATATTTAATTTAATCAGATATTTAAAAAAAAGCATCGTTACAGAATTTAAAACGGAATCCGAGAACCATATTAGTATTCCAGATAATGTTGATTATTTAGAAATGATATCGTTCATCCTTTTTTCCCTCTGTTATGTCCGTCGCCAGCTACTTAAAAATATCCCTGATGCAAGCGACAGAAAATAGTTCCGAAGAAGTAATAACTAAAAAGCATCGTTACAGTTATTTTCAACCTTGCTGAAGTAATTTGCCCATAATATTTATTGATCAGTAATATTATTTAGATATTGAGACGAAAAATCTCACAGTGAAGTCTTCTGAGTGGAGTGGATATATATATATTGAAAAGAGAAAATTTACAGAAAATTCGCATGGGATTGAAACCGTACAAAGAAGATGGATGGACAACTAAAACCCAGAGAAGTTT